CCCTCACTCAATATTATGCGTAAATGGACTAATTCCAGTCTACAGGGGTGTTTTTTTTCAACTGCTAAGAGCTTCCGATTCAACCATTGGAAAGGTATTTTGTTACTATCTTTGATTACCCCAAGTTTCAGCTCCCTGCGTTCATCGTGGTCGAGAAACGACTTCTAGAAAATGAAGGCGGGTTTGTTTGTTTGGGGCATAATATCAGAAGTGGGGTCCAGGGGCTCTGATGTTCTAAATTTAAGCTTTCCTCAACTAGGCCTAACACATACTAAAAATCGAACCCAGTACTACCCCAAATTGCCGAGTTATGATGAGGCCATTTACACTTCCGGGGAACGTTATCACTTTCCCTCCCCCATAGGTCCGAGGGGTCCCGTTTTTGTATACCCTGAAGGGTATACTGGTTCTGGGAGGTTATAAGGATAGTTTCCTTAGTTCCCATTTGAGGGGGTGGGGTTAGCCGATTTTGTTGTTTTTCTATTTTCCGGCATAGGAGTGACGAATTTTTGGAAACTTGAACTATTTTGAGCTCGAACCTTTGTTCGCTGTACTGCTTAAATTAATGACTAGTCAATCTTACGCTCAGGTTACTGTTAGCCTTACCAAGCTGCATGCATGTCCCAAGGTAATACATTCTACGTTTGGTTCTTATTTTGCCGAAAGTGTTTTAGGATCACCGATGCTACAGTACTGATAACGTGAGCTGATAAAATTATGTGACTGAGTTTTGGTTCAATTCAACGCTAAATTATTGATAATTTTCTCTTTTCATCATTTTATAAACGAACATTTTGCGAGCACGTTAAAAACACAAACGCTGATAAACTTGTGTGATTTGTCGCCTGCTTTTGGTTTTCGTCTAATTAATTCCTTGCAACGCTATTGATCTGTTGCAAGAAGCAAACTGCTTCCGGCACTGTTTAGCCCCCATAGTCCATCTGTCTAATTTTTTCATGCAGCTTTTGGTGTATTACTCATGCACATTTGAGGTTGGTCGTCCTCACAAACTTTGCAGCTAGTAAGAACCATACGAACCAAATTGTAAAAAACATTGGCTAAAGTTATTCACTTAAGACATGTGTAAGTTTTTTTATATTTACAAATTAATGTCATGACATGCTTAATCGCCGTTTGCTTGCAAGTGAATTACGCTAACCCTTTTTCTAAGACTTAAAATTTAGCCGTTGATGTAAATCGTTCTGTTCAACTAGTTCTTGCTAGTTACACATTTCTAAAGATGTGCAAACTAGCATATGCAGAAAAAATAAAAGTAAACAAGAGCAGCATGAAACAATGATAGCCGGTTACTGAGCAAGTAGCACAGAATGTTCCGACCACAGTCTTAAAAAAAATTGGTTTCGTTTTTTTCTGCATGTTGTGATAAAAAAATCTGAACGAAAAAAAGAATCAAGGCATATTTGAGAGTCATAGTAAAATAAGTCAATTGGAAAACAGTTTTTGAAGAAGAATCACTAAGTAGAAAAAAAAAATTTAAAAATTTGGAGAAAAAAATTTCATTTTTTTTTCAAATTTTTTTTTTAATTTTCAAGTTTTTGATTCCCAAATTGCACTAAAAACTCCAGAAATTACCTTTATTTGAGTTTAAAATTTTTCACGGCTGAAGTTAGGATTAAATAAGCTATTGTAAGCATATTCGGTACCTCATTAGCACGAAATTTGACCAAAAAGTAAAAAAAATTCCAAACCAATTTTTCTTGACACTGTGAAAAAAAAAATTCTTAATGTCGTTCGAATCGCAATTGAAAGGGCTTTAAAATGATATATCACTGAACGTAGTCTGATGATTGTTTGTGGTACCTGACTTTGCGTGGAAAACAAAAAAAAATAAAACGCAACCGAATACAATGCTCGGAACAAAAATGGACATACAGATTATCAGAGCCTCGCAGTGTTAGGAGAGGTCTGGTTATATTCACAAATTAATGTTACCTTTGAATTAGCTAAAACAAATAATAATTATTAATTGCGGTTTCTGCTCATTGCAGAGGATCTATGAAAAGATCTATCTAAGCAGTTTTTTTTAACTCCAGACATTCCAGAATGAGTTGTTTTGTTGAGCATTTCTTTTTTTAACTCTTGAACTTTCACGTGATACTACTATTGCAGCCGAAATTGGTCGGGCTGTGGTAGACCTGAAGCTAGAGCGAAGTGAGATCTCGTCTTGAAACACTATCATTGCAATGGCAGGGGATCGATTACACGATCTGACAGTCTCGAAGTGAACGGTTTACCACTATGCTGAATGTCTAGAAATTTGTCTTGATGGTGTAGGACTGGACAAGATATGAAGTGCTTAAGAGTCTAATAAATCATGCACTAATTAGTGTAAAAAAACAAACAAAATTGAGTTTTTAAATAAAATTTGACGTGAGGTCTTAGGTTAAATGACAGGAATTAGAAAAAAAATGACGAAGAATTATGGCAGAGAAAAATGGAGAGGCAAATTGCACATGAAAAAAGACAACATGGCAATTTTATTTTCAGTCCAAAATAGAAAAATAAAAAACCTTGAATAACGAAAATTAAATACAGTTAGTTTTGAATACAAGCTATCGAGATCTTCATGGTTACAAAATCTGAACAAACTTTTGTTGTATGGAACTCTTTTTTGTGGATTTTTGCCAAAGCCGCTCTGCATAAACCCTTTTCATTTGCAAATCTCTTTGAGTTTGCCTGAAAAATTGGATCATTTTAATGAAAACTTAGCATTCAGGACTAAATAATTGAATCATTTTTAGTATTTTATTTACAGTTTTCTAGTATTTTTGAGTGTTTTATACAGCATACTTGCTGAAAAAGTTTGAGGGCAGAAAATTGGTGGCATAACCCAATGTAAAAGTAGAATAGTCGATACTATCTACGGAAGGACAACGCCATTCGCTCTCAGCTACCGAACATCGCCACAACACTTTCACATTTCTGCCCTCAAAGTTAAGCGGATAAGCACAAATAGTGTTTTCGTACAACCAATCTAATTGCTCATTTATGAGCGCTTTTTCGGTCTGATTAGCTGCGGGTAGAAACCCGGCCATGATTGCGGCTGAAACTATAAGATCCGGACTTCCGTCAATCCGTTCAACAGAGTAACCAGAGACTCCTGGACCCGCCCCTGCTCCAAATACTCTTCCTGCAACTGGAACTCCCCAAACAGTTCCATCATGAGGAATTGCAAATGACCAAAATAGTTTGTCAGACTGGAACCAAGCTGGAAGCATTTGAGTTGAGTAAAAAGAGTTTGACTGGAAATGTTTCGACAAAAAATAGCAAAATTGAGGAATGAAACTTGACATGAATTTATTTGGATTGTCTGTTAGAAGATCGTACTGATAATAAAACTTATGCACCGGATAGTGTCCATCTCCAATGGGTTCAGGCCCGTTCGCTTCCATGTAAGTTTCAAAATACTGAACGGCTTTCGAATCTACGCTGCCGGATGTCAGATAAGCTAAGTATGCTACTAGATAATACTCGTTGTAGGGTCGAATGTCTCCCGACATCATGCCAGTGTTCGGATCGACGACCGGATAAATTGTCGGATTTGAGGCAGATTTAATTGCCGCAGACCAATCGATACTGTTCTTCAGACTGTTTGCAAGTTGTAAAACTTCACCTCCGAAATAGTTGCCGGCAAAAAGAGCCCCGAGAACCAATTCGGCCGAATCGATAGTAGAAAACTCCGAAGTCGCTTGCCACTTTCGGTTGGTGAAATGAACCAAAAACCCAGTATGCGAATCTTTTGGCCAGCAGTTTGTGATATTCTTCAACGTCTGTATGGCCTCTGATTCGGCCTGCGAGTAACTATTATAGCCATACTCAGCCATTATGGACTTAATGACTAGGCCCATACCTGTACCAGCACTGGAGTAGAAATTATTTCCGGCACCGCAAGGTTTTGAGCTGTGGAACTGGACGTGGTCGCAGTATACTCCTGTGATAGGATCTCGGTACATTTCCCAGAGAGTCAAAGAGTCGTTAAAAATTGACTGTCGTGTATTTTGTCCGAGACTTAACGCAAAAAAGAGCCCAAGCAGAATTATGGATTTCATTTTCAGATGATAAAAATAGAGATAGATACGGAAACTAAAAAATGGAAAGATTTATATGACCATAAGAGCTGTTTGTTCTACTTATGACCCCGAGAATATGTTGATATATACTGATAGCTCGATAGAATTGGGAGTTGAACTCAAGAAAATCAAAACATCCTTTCTCAAACATTTACTTTGACAATCTATTAAAAGTTCTCATGTTCCATTCTTTTGTTTACACATTGAGGCTGCTTTCTTTTGGGCGGGGCTTAATTTGAACTTTTCCGTAGCCTGCGCAATTTTGAATCAATAAATAGCAGAAGATTATATGAAAAGAAAAATTTAGAACACCATTTTGAAAAGGTCTAAAAACAGTTTTAAAAGGTTGTACATACAACAATAGGAGCACATGAGGATCTTTGTTATTTGACCCCTTTTGCAAAAAAGGGCTTTTTCGTTACAAGGTACAAAAAGGGTTAAAAAGGAGAAAAATCCGTTAAAAGAGGGGGGACTAGTTGACAAGATCCGCATGTTGATGTACTCGCAGCACAGAAAGTTCATTTCAAAGTATTTTTTTCAAGAAAATTTTGCTAAGAAACCCGCCATAAATTTTTTTCTCTGCACTTATTTGTAATCTATTCTGCCTAAAAGAATAAAAGAAACAAGCAGTAAAACAGACAAAGATTTTAAAATTCACCCCTTTTCGCACAAAATCCCTCGAAAAACTCAATAACCCATTTTTTTCCCATTTCAGCAAAATTACCGAACTGAAATCTTGGCTGGTTCGATTGAAATTGGGAGTATGTCAATAGAGAATAGAGTCATAGTGTCTTAACCATTAAATATTCAAACATTGCAACCTTACATATACCTAGAAAGTCTTAGGCTGCAATTTCCACAGATTTCCAATTAACAACCGGAAAGGTTCATCAAAAAGGTTCAGCATTCTCAGGGAGAGCGCGAACGCAGTCCCCACACTAATAAATTGTGCGTCCGAGTTTCTCACTTGGAGAAATCGCAGGGGTCAACCTCCGCGCAGTGCAATGCAGAGGCCTCGCCCTGGACCACCACCTCTCTGCTTGATCAGAGGACGGTCGGCGCCAGGTAAGTATGACTAAACGTCGATGAAAGCTACTACCATAGTAAATTGCACAACTTCTTAGAGAAGGTAAGATAGCTTTTCGATCCCTTAATCAGACGAATCGTAAAAGCTCCAATTACTTCGCCCGAACTGCGTTTGAGAAAAAATGAACATATCGTAACATCCCCTACAAAATACTTGACTAGCAACTATGTTTGTTGAGCTTCAGATTTAGTGCAAGTCAAAAATCAACCGAGAAACTATATTAATACCATATTTGGACATATTACCAAATGTGGTCATGTTTAGAACTCTCAATGGTTGCATGAGACTGAGAGCCAATCAGATTCGAGAATATCAAATAACGAGCAATGGTATGCTGGGTCGAAGCCATTGACAATACCAGAACGATAAGCACAGATAACGAGAGCTACATGAGGACCATGTTCTATACGAGGACCATTCCAATACTAAAACCATGTGCATGCAAGACGAGTTCATTTTGAACATAAGTTGGGAAGTTTTCAGCAGCGGTTTTTTAAAAGTAATTTGAGACGAGTTATTGCAATTCTCTATGATTCCTTAAAAAAAAGAAAAATGCCGGAACCTTAAACGAACAAGATTTCATATGATCTGAAAACAGCCCAAAACTACCAAATCTATCGGAAACTGAACACGCTTGGTATGTTATGGAGTACAGTTACGGCGATAACCATTATCACTGGGCAGGGCTTTATAGTCGCGGACAAAGCCTGGAAATATCCCATTTTTGTGCAAAATTTGACCAGATAACGCTTTATTTGTTAATTTGAAGCGCAAATTAAGGCTCATTTCATTCAAAATATAGGATTGCCAGATTGCGTTATTACATAAGCAGGGTACCAGACATCAGGCCGACGGGACTTTGCAGCCGATTTGTAAGTTTGGGGACTTCAACCCGAATACTTTCAAAAACAGTCGTGAAAAATGATTTGTTTGAAAACTGCTTGCTCAGGGATTCGACACCCTGCCCATCCAAAGGGTTCCCATTTGGAACTATTTTGAAATATCCATTTTTGGCTGTCAGACTCCTAAATTTTTCTAAAAGCGACTATACTAATTTTTTCGGAGTGCCGAAAAAACGTGATTTTTAGTCAAAAATTTTCAAAAAGTGCCTAAAAGCGCTTTTTCGGCCTGTTTTTTCAAAATTTGACCAAAACAAGGTCTTTTTAGTAGTTTCGAAGAGCTTGGAAAATCAATTTAGTCGACCTAAAAAAAGGTCGACAAAATTTTCTAAAATTTTTTGAAAATCCGCCCCTCGAGAAAAACCTAGATCCGCCCCTGCCTGCGTGGAAGGGAGAGTACATATTCCCATAATAAACAATCTACACCCCCGGGGTAATTTTTAGTCACCCCCAATCACACGTTTTTACCAGTTAGGTGGGGGGAGGGAGGTTCAGTAGAAGTGAGCGGTAGGAAGGGGGATTAACGTGCGGGATATCTCCTGCACTCTCATCCTCCCCCCACACACATTCCACCTGGGGTTAAAATGGGAGGATCACAGTAATTGAAAACTCATCGCTACACTATCGCTGATTCATCGATAATTCATCTCTACTTCCTTGCTAAATTATCGCTATTCCATTGTTAAATTTCAGATTTTCCAGTTCTGAACAATTCTGAATCAGTGCTAAATCAGCACTGAAACTTGCTATTTGGGAAAAAATTTAGCATTAGTCCATTAATAGAGATAGCTGTTTTTTCTATTTTCCATCGCTAGTTTTCAATGGCAACTCAACCGTTCAAGTAATTCAAAATCCATCTGATGTAACATACGGATGCTATTCCGAATTGGCGCATTGTAATTAATAAAGTCTAGCATTTTGCTGTAAGCTCGAAAACCTGTTGGTGTAGCAAACGGATGCTATTCCGAAGTGCTGCTTAAAAAACGCCCTAGTTTTGAAAAATTATGATTGACAATTGAAAAATTAGCGTTCTGAGGTTCTTGTAGAGTGTGAACTTCGGCGTGAAGATCCATTCGAGTTGAATTATTGTCGGCTTGTTGTCCTAGGCCCACAAAAGCGTCAGTTTGATTACACGCCCCCATGCCAAAATAAAAGTGACGCCTTATGATTATAACTTTAACCTTGTGCTTATCATGATGTGTCTGAAACAAAGCGTGAAAAATATTATCACCAAATGGAATGAAAATCATATATGAACAAGACTGCTCGTATCAGGGCGAAGCTCTGAATGTTCCGACTGCTTTTGAGGTTTATGGAGCAGTAATAACAAAACAATTAAATGAAATAGAACAAAATTTGATTTTTTTTATGGAAGTCTCCCCACACGCCATATAAAATACAAAAGGATAAATTTCGCTCCTTGTAACAAATCAATTATGGCAAATAAGCTTCTTTCAACCAATTTGGAACAATTTCTAAGACGGATTAACTCTCCGCTTACGCGTTAATAGCGCGAAATATATCGCGCGTTAATTGTCCCAAATTGGCCCAAATGGCAATCTTTAAACCCCCGTAACTCTACAAAAAATGATCATAGGTGAAACAATTTTTCAAATTTGATCTCAGTACAACAATACCTTTCAAATGATATAAAAAATGGTCAAAAATGGCTAGTTAAAAAGTCGAAATTTGCTGAAAAAAAAACTCACCCCGAGCACAAATACATATCGAAAGCGGAACAAGAAGATTGCTCGTTTATCAGGGCAAAACCCTGAATGTTCCATTCCCACTGTCCCTTAATTTATATCGAATAGTTTTTGAGAAATGAAATTTATACGACCGATCCGATTAGCTAACTTCAATTCAATTTGGAACGATTTTGATGTAGGGAATAAGTTGCCACGCATACAAAAATTCGCGTTACGCTCTCAGCAATATGAATAAATTCTTAAAAGCGCGCATAATTTAGTCCAGAACATGGCCAATTTTATAATTTTCAAACCCCAAAAACTTTACAAAAAAAAGTCGGATGTAAAATGTTTTTTTTTAGTTTGAACTCAAGAAGTCAATAGCTTCAATAGGTTACAAAACATTTTTGTTGAAAACTATATTTTCAATTGGCGAAAAATGCCTGAATAAAAAAATCACACCGAGCATAAACAAGCCGTTTTCTTCGACAGCGGGAACAATAATCTGACTTTCAAAGCAAGATTGACCAAATATGTGTGCTCGGGTTTTTTTTTGGTTCAGACAAACAGACTTTTTAAATAGTAACTTTTGATCGGCTTTTTTCATCTCTGAAAATTAATACTGTCCTTATCTCAAAACATTTTTCGTTAAAATTTGGGGGATAAAATACTGCTAATTTGGCCAAATTGGGACAATTAACGCACAATACAATTAAGCGGAGGTTTAATCCGACTTAGAAATAGTTGCAAATTAAATTGCTTTTTGGTCAACTTAAAACTGCTATATACGAAATATTTTGTTGCTTTCATGATCATACTTGGAGACAATTTTATTATGATTCGAGTGATTTTTTGTATTGAGTATGATTGTAAAGTATCTGTTACTGACCAATGATTTTCCACTAACTTCTTAATCATTGCAAACGCTGTATGGGCTGTTTACAATCAGAAAACTTTTAGAAAATACCGAATAGCGTTAATCTCCATAAGGTTGATCTATTTATTGGGATCTTTTGATGCTTGGGAAACAAAGGTAGGACTAAGATTAGTATTGGATTAAGCGGTTGCACAAAACCGTTTAGCCAAAAAATTAGAAAGCAAGACGGACCGACAGTGTACTCAATCTGAAATTACTATACTGCCAGATAAAAACACAAAATGCCGATATCTAGTTGAAACTAATTTTTGCTACCTCAAAAAAAAAACAAATCATAATTTAAACTTTTTTAGAAAATAAATTTAAAAGAACACGAAAATTTTGATAACAATTCACGCACCTGATTGATTATATTCAATTGGCCTTCTTTTGTGTGAAGTTTGCCGTCAAACAAAGAGTAGTTGCAAATTTTGTTCCCTTTTAGAAAAAACTTACGACTTGGTGGTTGTTTGGCTTCAAAGTGTTTTTTTTTTCAAAAATTTTTATTGCTGTGATAAATTTAGTAAATAAGTTCAGAGCCAAAAGATGACCTTTACGAACGATGAAAGCGACCCTGAAACTTTACCAAGTGATGTGCCAATTCTCGGAATGATATAGAAGTCATGATGTGCACAATTAAGCGGAGGTTTAGTCCGACTTAGAAATAGTTGCAAATTAAATTGCTTTTTGGTCAACTTAAAACTGCTATATACGAAATTTTTTGTTGCTTTCATGATCATACTTGGAGACAATTTTATTATGATTCGAATGATTTTTTGTATTGAGTTTGATTGTAAAGTTTCTGTTACTGACCAATGATTTTCCACTAACTTCTTAATCATTGTAAACGCTGTATGGGCTGTTTACAATCAGACAACTTTTAGAAAATACCGAATAGAGTTGATCTGCACAGGGTTGATCTATTTGTTAGGATCTTTTGAGGCCTAGGAAATAAAAGTAAAACTAACATTAGTATTGGATTAAGAGGTTGCACGAAACCATTTAGCCAAAAAATTAGATAGCGAGACGGACCGACAGTGTACTCAATCTGAATTTACTCTACTGCCCGATAAAAACACAAAAGGCCGATATCTAGTTGAAACTAATTTTTGCTACCTCAAAAAAAAACAAATCATAATTTAAACTTTTTTTAGAAAATAAATTTAAAAAAACACGAAAATTTTGATAACAATTCACGCACCTGATTGGTTATATTCAATTGGCCTTCTTTTGCGTGAAGTTTGCCGTCAAACAAAGAGTAGTTGCAAATTTTGTTCCCTTTTAGAAAAAACTTACGACTTGGTGGTTGTTTGGTTTCAACGTGTTTTTTTTTTTCAAAATTTTTTATTGCTGTGATAAATTTAGTAAATAAGTTCAGAGCCAAAAGATGACCTTTACGAACGATGAAAGCGACCCTGAAACTTTACCAAGTGATGTGCCAATTCTCGGAATGATATAGAAGTCATGATGTGCACAATTAAGC